ATACTAAAGACTTTTATTTATCCCCAATTGCAATTTCTGGCATTTTCTAGGGGTTTTGGCGGACCTATAAAATATAATTACTATGAAAAAATTGTTAAACAAATAATTGGATATTATTATTGGGAATCCCGTGAAGAGAAAAAGGTGTTCCGATCGAAAAATATTGGTTTTCAAGAATTCTATACCATTTCCACGAAAAGAGTTTTTTCCCCCCATATAAAATACATGAAAAACTTGAGCGCTTTGAGCGACCTCTTAATATTTTTTGATTTCAAAATAAAAAAAATATGAGTACATATATTTTTCGGTACAGAACAATCCAAGGGGGCGAGAGCATTCAAATTCCGGCTTTACTTTTTCACATGGATTTTTGGACCAACCTAGTGTATAGCAATACACTTCGTTCGGATAACTTGCGTTTGTTGTTGTTGTTGTCTTTCATTTTATCACTTATTTGTATATGCAATCTGGTTGTACAGAAAATCGAGAATATTTTTTTTAATAATATTATTTGCAAAGGCAAAAACACTCGTAAGTACATGCATATATGTACTATATTAAATACTAGGACTAGGCTTGCATGATTTGTGTGCAAATGTGTAGATACATACATACATACATACTATATATTTGTGTTCGTATGGAACAATAGCTTATGTCGACAGGCTGCCTTTAGTATAATGCGGCATTCGCAGCATACGATTGCGATCACTGGCGCCGAGCCGTTGAAGAACTTTTGGCAAAAAAACGTGCAGAAATAGTTCCGACACTAGCGAGTCCATATTCTTATTAAGTTTCATCAAAAAATTCCTTGTCGTTTAAAGAATAAAGGGAATGCCGCATTATACTAAAGCCAGCTTCTTGACATAAGCTACTATTCCATACGAACAAAGATACATATGTACATATGTATGTGGCTACCTTAGTTGCATAAATTGTAGTTATTAATTAAGTTGCCCCTCTGTGTGTTTTTTTTTTTTTTATTAAAAATCCAATTCGATATAAACCTCAAAGTAAATGCGACAGTGTTATGTAAAAATAGTAAGTGCAAGCACATTAGAGTGCACCAGACATTTGTTTTTGGCATCGACTTGAAATTAAACCGAGGATTGATCGGCTCAAACCCTTCTTAAAGCGAGCTGATAAAGTGCATCGAATATCGAATGACCTTCAGGGCTGCTCAGCCTTAACCTGTTACAGGGGAGGACCCCCCCTTCCCACCAATGGTAGAACTAAATTAGAATACAAAACGAAAATCGCTCCTCAGAAATGGCTTACAGAAGCAACCACCTCTGTCTGATCTAGAACTGCGGTAGAAATAGTTCACTCTCACATAATTCGAACGAATTGGGAGTCATGCAATGCAACATCGGTCGATAAAATAAGCTCAGTCTAAACAGAAGTTCGACTGAAAGTTTTTAAAGCCGGAGATATCCGATAATGGGGGAGATTTGGTGCCATCGGATCCAGCGGAAATCTTGGAAATGCTCCAGTAGTTTAACACAGGCATGCCATTGCTAAAATTCTGAATGTCGAATAGTGCAAATACAATCGAATTTCGCAAAAATAGAAGTTTTTACTTTAAGTTCTTCGACACCCTAATGTCCATTCATCCTCATGCTTGTATGTACATACATACATACATATGCACATGTGTATCATATGTGTAAGTACCCATTGTAACCGCTGGCAAAATGTTTTGATTGCCATTGTAAAATGAAATACCAGTCAAATACAAAATAGCCATTCGCAACAGCTACATCCATACGTACACGTGTATGTTCGTAAAATTAATAAAAGTATGTAGATGTTTTTTTAAGAAATTAAACACTTGCACCGCCTAATAAATAGCTACATAAGAGCGTGTACATTGTACACTAACAAATTTCGATTTCTTTATTTTGTTTTTTTAGCTTTTAAATAAAGCACAACTCGTGTTCGCCTGTTTTCTATTTTCTACTTGTTTGCACTTTTCATATAATAAACTGTATTTTATTTGCAATTATAATATGCACAACAACACTTCACCGGGTGGGAGGGGGCGGGACGGCAGAGACGCGCGCTCGAATACAGTAAGTCAAACGATTGCGCCACCAAGCGTAGTTTCTGCTTGTCAGCCAGCCAGTTGCCTAGACGCTTCAATGGCAGCTGGATTGCACAATGCCACACAATTAACGTTTGCCGCCACCATAAATGTTGTTTGTTGGGTTGTTTGTATTCAACTTTTTTTTTTTGTTTTGTATTTTGTATTTGTTAATAAAACTGCATTCACCGGGGAGTACACGAACTCACGAACTGTTTGTTACTCATCACGTTCTTGGGTATGCCGCTATTTGAGTGCTGCTTCTTTTTTGTGCTTTTGCTTTTACTACATTTTCATTCATACACACATCTGCCGGTTTTGAACACAAAGAAATACGCAACCGAACCGAATACTTCGCCGGATATGCATTCACTCACACTCATGCATACATATCTACCAAAACATACATCCAGATGGACAAACGGGGGAGGGGGGGAGGGATATCTGTGTTTGTGTTTCACACGTAATTGCGCCGTTACCGTTTGTAATCAAATTGTTGCTCTTATTGGATTGGGAAGTCAAATGCCCTCCACTGTAAATAAACTGTTCGCTGAGCTTGGAACCGCACGTACGCTGATAACAACCGCTTCGCGTTCTGTCTCATTAACAACTGAAGCGGCCAGTCAGTCGGTCGTTCAAAGCGAGCATGTGGCTGATTTCTGGTCGTTCGAAGTCTGCTCATTCTGGAAATGAAACCACCACCACCAGTGTACGGAACGGCTGGCTGCCATGTGCCTCTTCCAAGCTGGAAATTAGTTAAACTGTTGGCACTGTGTCAGTGGTTTGTTTTGTTGACTCTGAGCACGCCTCGGTGTTAACAAAAGCGTTTTGCCGAATGAATCACTACTACCAGCCACCGAACCAGAGAAACCGAACGAACTACCAACGTTTGGAAAGGTCGAAACGGCAATGGGTTCGATAAGGGAGAAAACAAAAGACATGTGTTTGCGCAAACAAGCCTACAAACTATGACTATGTAGCAGCTGGTGATGCAGGCTCGCATTTTTGTGTCCGATCGAACGTTCTAACCCGGAAACCAAACAGATTAGTCGAATGAGTCCATAACAATAAAAGCTTTTCCGTCTAATAGCCACAGATAATCAGGCCGATCCTGAACAGAAACTCCCTGGGAGTTTTCTCTCTTTTCCCTTCCCCCCTATCATGAATAAAAATTCCTTGAAGACCTTTTATATTAAATTGCGGAGTTGAGGCGTCAAAAAAGTGTCAAACAGTTCATGAGAATTTCGAAATTTCTCATCCCAAATTCTCGGGGAAAATGCTACCTCCTGGGAGTAAATTATTGGAGGACTTCTTTCTCGGGAGAAACAAATTCTCGTAGAACAAATTCCCTGGGAGTATTCAGAATCGGGCTGAATAGCTTTGTTCCACACGTTACTCGGGTGACACTAAGAAAAAGAGCAGGGGAGGAGAGATACACTTTAAAGAGGAAGAATGAAGAGAGAACGAAGAACTTGAATTATTATCAGGCACGAACGCAGCCCGGGACCCATCCCTCCACTAGATCAAGACTTAAGGACAAAAAAGTCCTTGGAGCCGGCAGAAGACCTGCCGAACTGATCACGATCGGTGGCAAAGAGTTGGCTGGGCGCACTATTATACGTGCACGGTCCAAAAATGCAGGTGAAAAAGTAAAGTTGGATTTTTTATGCTCTCACCCCCTAGGATTGTTCTATACCGAAAAAAATATACCCTTATTTTTTAATTTAAAATCAAAAAAACATTTGGAGGTCGCTCAAAGCGCCCAAAGTTTTCCACGTATTTTGTATGCGGAAAATAATTTTTTTCGATATAGAACAATCCTAGGGGGTGAGAGCATTACAATTCCGACTTTACTGTTTGGACCACCCTAATGTACAAGAAATTAAGGCCATATTGGTCAGATAAATGCATTCTCGAATATAGTAATCTGAGTGTATTTGATTCAGTTCTCAACTAACGCGGGGTAAGGGTGAGAGATTGAAACCATCAAGCCATGGAAAAGAGTCCCAATAATCAAGGCACCACTTTTTTTAAGATTATAAAACCGTTTCAGTAGCACGAAAAGAAGGTGGATCTGCGAAGCCATGTATAAATTTGGAATCACCAAAAACTAATAGGGCTATTTTGGGTGAGGCAGTATTAGCTCCTGATTTTGTAAGCTTGGGAGGGGTTAAGTGTTAAAAAAACCGTATTTTCTCTATAATACTCGATCTTATATTTTAATTAAATTTTTTTAATTATTTTTGAAGTTATTAAGGATCTAATAAATGAATAATGATCAATTTTAAATCGAAAAAAAAAATTGTTTTTTTATGGAATTATCCGATGAGACGTGATTCGAAAAGCCAAATATGCAATTCGGAAAAGAGCACTTGTCTGAAAATTTGAAGTATTTAGGAAAGAAGAAAACTAATTATTTCTCCTAGGCTTGGGACCATTTCAAACTTATTCGATGCTCGCGATGATGTCAACAGTAGAATTGATACAAATGTATCCTTTTCGAGCTTAAGAAATACAGAGAGGCATTTAGATTACATACATTCAAATGACAAAAATTTATTTACAAATTAAGTAGTAAGAGAAGTAATGCGCTCTTTCGAAATTGCATATCCAATTACAATGAAGTATCTATAGTTGGGAAAATAATTATTTTATTAAAAAAATTGCCAAAGGCTTATGGTCTCATTATGCATTCTTCGCATAACTTCGCAAAAATTTCAAACGGTAATTTTTTATGTACATAATCCATTATCCAGAAATTAGCGGAACTTGTGAAATTATTTAGCGATCTGTTGAGTTTAGATTTTGCTTCATATTTTCTTTAGTTATATTTCAATTTCAGTTGTACAAATGGCTCTGCGAAGTTATGCGAAGTATGCATAATCAGACCTTTAAACAAAACCAAAAATTAACTTACCATTGACCGGGTGGCGGTTAATGTATGAGCTCCGCTACACTTATGCCAGCTTTCGCCGATTAAAAGAGCTTGTAACACTTCATTATTTTCAAAAACATTGCAGGAAATGAATGTCCCGCATATCGTTTAATTACCCTAATTCACCAACACCCACACAAACGACCTGAGGCTACTTCTTTTGTTCTCATGCATCTTGAGCGACACTATCATGCATAAATATGTAGATATGGATGTACAATAGGGTGGTCGAAAAACGCACGTGAAAGAGTTAAGTCGGAATTTTTATGCTCTCACCCCAAGGACTGTTCTATACCGAAAAGCTATACCCCTATTTGTTTATATTAAAATCGAATAATATTTAGAGGTCGCTCAAAGCGCTTTTCGTAGAAATGGTTTAGAATTCTTAAAAATCAATATTTTTCTATCGGATAACTCTGTTTCTCTGCAGCAGTCTCCCAATAATAATACTCAACTGTTTATTTAACCTTTTTTTATCGCAACTATTACTTATAGGTCCCCCAAAAACCCACAAAAACCATGAAAAATTCAAATCGTTAGTATTAAAAAATAGTTAAATAAAGAATTGGGTATTGTCGTTGAAAGTCTTCTGAAGAGAGCCAGAGTTTTCCGACCGAAAAATATTGATTTTCAAGAATTCCATACCACTTACTTGAAACTTTTTTTCCCCCATATAAAAATATGTACTTGGAAAACTTTGAGCGCTTTGAGCGACCTCTAAATATGTTTTGATTTCAAAAAAAAAAAAGGGTGTATAATTTATCGATATAGAACAATCCTAGGGGGTGAGAGCATTACAATTCCGACTTTACTCTTTTTGGACCACCCTAATGTGCATATGTACATATGTAGGTATGCATGTATGTATTTATGTAACAGATATTTGCGACGAGCATTGGCGGCACTCGAACTTTCGTGTTGGCGGTTAAATGACTTGCACCACTAAAACTGGCGGCTATGTGAGCCAAAATACAAAAATTGGTACTTAAATTTGGTAAGAGCTCGCTTGTCATCTTCGCATGTGTGTATGTATAGGCATGTGCATACCCACTGGGAAAATAGGTAAGCACTTTACGAGGTAAGCCATGGGGAGAAATGTATTCTGTATGTACGTTTCACTATAGTACGCTTGGTACTTATGTTAATATATATATGTAAGTACATATGTATCTATGTACATATGTATGTATGTTTCTATGTAGATATGTATGTACATACGTAGCTTGCCCATGTTTATTTATGTTCTATACCGTTCTGGCTTTTTGGCTCCTATTGTCCCGGCCGGAGTTCATTCTTTTTTTTTTGGTAATTTCTTTCCCATCGCTTTCATATCTTTTCGTATTGTTGCCTGTTTGGCATTCACTTTTGTCTTTGTGAGTTTTTGTGAAGTTGTTAAGCTTTGCTTGCGGTCAAATTCCCACACAAACCATAAGCCTAAGTTGAATCCAAAGGAAACCGGTTTGTTCGATCTCGTCGTGCTCGCGTTTTTTCAACATTCTTCCCAAAGTTTTATTTTTCTTTGTCATTAAACATTGTACTGCCATACTATGTACTTGCATTTGTATCCAGTTGTAATTGTACATGCATACATATGCACATACATGTATGTAGTATTTATGTACGTATAATGATATATGACTTCCGTAATTCACTTTTTAAGGCTGATTTGTATTTTATTTTGAGCCAAAAATAAACAAACACCACAAATATCACTCTCGCAATAAGCTTCAGATTTTTTATTATCGTTTTTTGTTGAACATTATAATTTGCAATTAAAAGCAGTGATTTCGTGCTTCAAACACATACAAAACATATACAAACATACATGAAGAACTTAGTACCCGCAAAATTCTCGAACTCGCTTGAATCCATCGTAACTTATACGAAACTCCTGACAAGATAACAATAAAGTCAGAGAAATGAAACGATCATAACGAATGAACCAAATGATAAACAAACAGAAACACATACACAAACGGAGAGAAGAAAAGTTTAAGTGCTAAGCCCCAGCGAAAGAGCCAACGTATCGCGTCGAGCGTCTGGAGTGGAATGCGCGCGTCTGCTGGCTGTATCTTACCTGTACATATGCGCGAATAAGCTCTCCGACTGGGAGTTGAATGTAAAGTACGCCAGCGATTACCTTCCAGATTGTAGACCCATACATTTTGAAATAACTTCATACATATATGTATAAATATGTATGTACATACATTAGACTGCATCACTCCCCATACAAAAAAAAAAAAAAAAAAAAAAAAAATCGGTACGATTTTTCCATTGGAATTAAAGGAATCTATTATATTTTAAGACGTCCATCAAAATATTTCGGAAAAATATTAAGATTTAAGCGAGCTGGACCGATTTGAAAATACCTCCAAAAATGGAGTTTTTTATGAATAAAAATAGTTTCTTAAAAATGTTGGAAAAATCCCCTCAAATGACAAAACGGTTTAAACTCAGAAAATTAACATAAAAATATAAAAGAAAAAAATTAGATCGCAATCGTTATAATGGGATTTTAAATACTGTTTTTTAACTTTTTTCAAAGATTGTACTAAGATGTGCTGGTATTTGAAAAAAAAAATAAATTGGGACACGAATGACTTTTTTTGCACATAAATAAAAATAGTGGGAAAATACCTTTCTACCGTGAATAGTTTTGGCCCAGTTATTTAATTTTTTCGTAAATCAATCTTTGAATGAAGTGAAAAAAAAAACAGTATCTAAAATCTCATAATTACGATTCCGTTGAAAATATTTTTAAATATTTTTATGTAGATTTTTTAAGCCTAATCTGTTTTGTCATCTGAGGGGACTTTTTTCAAAAAGTTCTTTAAGAAACTATTTTTATTCATAAAAAACAAAATTTTTGGAGGTATTTTCAAATCGCTCGCTTAAATCTTAATATTTTTCCGAAATATTTTGGTGGACGTCTTAAAATATAAATAAGTTTTGTTATCCCGGCGGAAAAAACCACAAATTTTTTTGGTGACGCGGTCTAATGTACATATGTATATACACACACATTAGGCCGGATTGGACCAATTACAAAATAAACAAGTAAAGAAGTATAAATTCAGGCGAAAGCGAACTTTATATATCCGGCGCAGGTATCAAATATCGTCGTTTCAACTTTCTCTGAACTATCTTTGCATGATAAGTAGGGGTGTTTAATCGATTTCAAACGTTTTCGATAATATGCAGAGCTAGACTTAATGATATAATTGAACCTAGTTAGGTACAAATCGATTAAGTGGTTACCGAGGTACACCTTTGTTGTTATAAAGTGGGCGGTGTTAAGCCCAATTCATAAAAGTTTATAGCAGTTATTTATTGTTAGGAGATTGTTGTACATAACTATTAACTTGGAGTAAATTAGCGTCCTCAGTTATTGAAATATGGGAGTTTTCGTATTTCTGAAATTTACCGTTATACGGGAAGCGGGTGTAATTTTAGTCCGATTTGAATAATTTTCAACAAATTTCTTTTCCGTACCAAGGCTATTAAGTGCACCGACTCCCCGACCGATTTGTTTGTATATCACTATTATATAAGTGATTTGTCTTATTTATTATTACCCTCTGAGGGTATTATATTCGTTTTTGGTTTAAAATACTATATTATAACAAGATCTCATTTTTAAAATAAAAGATTGGTTAAATCGATTTCATGAATTTTATTTAAAAAAAATGATGGCAATTTTTGCCGATTTTTTTTTTCAAAAATTGCGAAGTACATCTCCAAAAAGCGTCTTTGCGAAGGTGCTTTTCCCAAATTGCACTTGTCGCAACAACAGCTTCTTAGTGGTCCAACAGCACGTCTTCGGAGTGGGGCCTTCAGCCTGTTCAGAAGACATATTTGATGCCCACGGTTTCTGAAATTTAACCTTGGAGGAGTTCGAAGAGTTTTCAAAGCGCGAAGAAAAAAGGCAGCATTACGATGTACGCCACGTCGAAAAGGGTCTTGACGAAAGTCATTCGTTTTGTGACCATGAGCCTTTTGCGGAAGCCGCGCGGGCATATCAAAGCAATGCCAACAAGCAAACTAAAAAGTACCAAGAATTGGAAATACTTAGAATACGCAAATTTAGAAAAAAAAAATATTTAGAATTGGAGAGGAGAGCTATAGTTGCATCGAGGAATGCGAGCGAAGACGCAATAAATTTTGCGAGGATGATAGTATCCACTATCAACACGTATACAGATGTTGAAAAGGATTTAGCTCAAAATATAAATTATATGTCTACAAAGGCATATAACTTTATGCGGGATGAGCTCAAATTTTCCCTCCCCCACAAAAAATCTCTCTTGCGTTGGCGGTCAATTAGGTTTGTACGACCGGCTCTAGACTCCAATGTACTAGAAAATTTGAAAAAAAAAATTGTAAGCGAAATGTCCGACCAAGAGCGATTTTGTCAAATCATTTTCGACGAAATAGCCAATAAATCGGATCTTTGCTACAACAAAAGTCAAGACCTCATCGATGGTTTCGTAGACAGCGGCGGTACTAAGAGGGCGATGAAAATAGGTGATAAATGTTGCTTTTTCATGATAAAAGCCCTAGCGGCTTCATGGAAATACGTTTTGTCGTATTACGTATCAAAAGGAGGCTTACCTGTTGGAGAGCTACACAGCATTCTACTCTCTAACATTAAGGAAGTAGAGAAAATTGGCCCTAATGTCAAAGCGACCGTTTGTGATCAAGGTGCTATTAACGTCGGTCTTTTCAAGGATTTGAATGTGACAGAAGCAAATCCATTTATTGTTTTAAATGGGAAAACAATGTTCTGGCTGTACGACTACTGCCACTTAACCAAGTCAGTACGCAACAATTTATTGAAGCACGACTTGAAAACCGCTGACGGAATTGCTAACTTCAAGGAAACTGTATGCCATCGACAAAGAAAACACGAGTTTTAAAATATGCCCAAAACTTACTTCGTCGCATATATACACGAACTCGTTTGAAAAAATGAGCGTTTCCGGAGCAACACAGGTGTTCAGCAATGCTGTAGAGCTGCTGGCATTGAAATGGCTAATTCTCAAGGGCTGTTGGGTGACGATCCGTACACGTTGAATTGCGTTAAGCCGATACAAAAATTTATCAAGCAAATGAATGACTTGTTCGATGAATTAGACTGAAAATTAAAAAAAAAAATAAAAATCCTCTTAAATCTCCAATTTGGCGAGGATCAGAAGCGAAGCTGGAAAGGGTTATGGACCACGCGGATTTTTTGTCAAGTGTACAACTGCCTAACAATATACCCGCAGCTTTTTTTCCGGGTTTTTCGCTTACTATAAAAGGAATGGTTGAGTTAAGTAAAGATTTTTGAAAATTATCCGCAAATGAAATTTATACTCCTCGGAAAGCTAAACCAGAATGCACTGGAAAATTTCTTTAATAAAAACCGCGCGAACTTGGGAAGCAACACGCACCCGTCAGCGCACGAAATATCTACAATATACAGTGGCACGTTTAATATCCATGAAGATTTTGCGTCGCAGATTTGAAAAAAGGATCAAACTGCGAAGACGATGACGACATAAACTTAGACTGGCATATGGAAGAGGACGATCGCGCCAGTGTACATCTGGAGAGCAGCTTTCGATAGAGGATGTCCATATTCCAGACGAGGAATTTGCCGAAGATGAGGGTAAAAATGCAGAATACAGTGAAGGGATTCTGCGCACTTGTCGGCTTGTTGTCCGTTTTCCGTAACGCGCAGAAAAAATATTTTATTTATGCATGCATTTTTATTTTTCAATCACATTTTAATTTTTAATTTTATTTAATCTATGTAAATCTGTGTAACCTCTGTTCATTTCTTTCGAACTCTCAAAGTTAATACATAATTTTCTTTTTATAATGTAATTTCTTATCAACAAAAATATAATAGGGCAATTCATCAAAACGCGTAAATGCCTCGAAAACTATGTAAACCTCGTAAAGTTATTAAAAAAAAAATTGGTTAAAATTGGTGTGGCGAACTCCTTCATCTCTGTGGTGAACTCCCGCATCTCAGATTTTTAAATTACAACTTGAAAAAATGTTAGTTAACATTTGCGCCTTCTCATTAAATTAACATTCTCTGGTAGTACTTTCTGCTAGCAGCTACTGGCGACATCTAGTTTTGAAGTGTAAACTGCAGTTCTGCATGACGGGGTGGTGTCCTTGCTAAACGAGTTGTGTCAAATACCGTAAGTCAAAATAACGTAGATTCAGAGAACGTAAACACAGAGAAAGAATATTAATAATTTTTGGTTTACGTTCTCCGGCTTAACATTTTCTGAAATAACTCACCATAGAAGCGAAACAACTCACCGCAGACAATACACTTAACGGAAATGTGCAGCAAAGCGGAATAACAAAAATTGGAATCTAATGTATGTATATATTTATTTATTTAATAATCTAGAAATACAACATTTCGTACAGACTATACAGAAAAACTATACTTTTAACGTTTATAAATTTATCATTTATTGTGTTTCTGTGCAAATTTAATGCTGGAATATCTTTAAAATCACGATGTCTCAAACGTAGTGGAAATATAGAACAAAATTACAGTTAATTGATGACGAAAACACTTAAATATAATTAATCTATGTTTTATTTTCAATTAAACTAAGTTTTAGTAGAGAGCAATCTGGAATTATTTTATAACTAAATTTAAAAATAGTAAAATACCCACAAAGCCCTAAAAAATATTTAGACAAAAATATTAACACATTTTTAGTTTATTAAGATAATGTAGCATTTATTTAAATTGTTCACGCTTCACTTTTAGTAATAAATCTGTAGTTGCATTAAATGCAATTCTACATTAAATGATGAAATTACATTGATTCTAATTAAATTTTATCGCATTTAATTAATCATTACACACAAGTAAATACTTTTTGTACTTGGTATTAAATTAAAGTATTTCAATAAACATGTATATGCATTTTCAATACGTATAAGTTTTTAAATAATCACGTTGTTACATTTTGTACTTATTAGCATTTTCATAAAATGCATTTCTTGTTAAAAATTATATAAAATCACATTGTAACATTTTGTAC